GAAGTAATCACGATTCTTGGAGACGATCCGCGAACTAATATCGGCCACCAAGTCATCCAACTCGTCGTAAATTTTGTTCGTTTTCCAGTTTTTCAAAGTTCATCTTTCAACTTGGCTTTCTGCTGATTGTTCCCTCGCCGAAAAGTTCGTTGAGATCGCGAAATGACTCTGCCGCCTTCCAACCTTTCTCGAAGTGGTAGAGCATATGTGGCGAACATGAAGATGATTTTCGATAAGCATTTCTGTTCAATGAAAGAAAGAATATTGGGAAATAGTGGGAAAATAGTAAGGATATATAAATAGATAAAAAGATGAAGATATATAAATAATAAAGATAAATAGTAAGGATCGGGCGCGCTTTATGAAGCGCCACTTGGCATTACGCCCACTCCGCTATTGCAAATATAGTGTTATTTTTAACAGTAGTTCTCGAAAGCGTTTATACATCAATTTTATGTTCGCGCCAAATATTTACAAATAATAATTATCATTTCACGAAGACATATCACGGGACAAATGGGAACCGAATATCTGTAAGGACATATAATTCGGAAAAATGAAGTGTCTAAGATGGAAAGTCAAACAGTCGTCTCTTCGTGGAGATGATAGAAGAGATCTTTGTCGTCGTTCCACCAGTCGTGGTTATTCCCAATGTGATGTAGAACGTAGCCGAGTTCATGAAAGAAATCTCTTTCTGAATATTCCTAAAAGGAATGACGCATTGTTTCCTGACGCATGACAACTGATATGACCATTGATTGAAGTTGCGAAATTTCGAAAAATAGGAGTGCGGCTGCGTTAGGGCAGGGCTAATTCAGTTTAGCCAAAGTTCAGCTAATTGTTCGCAAATATGTCTTATCTTGACCACACTGTCTGTTGACACATCACGCAGAACTCGTGGAGACCTCTGATCGGGTTTATCAGTTAAAGGGGGTTCTAATCGCACTGTGACGTACTGATTCCAGTTGAAGTTTGTGCACTATTAAGGGAAGTTCAGTTTGTCAGTGCCGCTTAAAGGCAAAGGTCGGGCTCAGGCACGCTAGAGAAGTAATTCCCGTGCCTGGAGGTTGTATGTGGGTAGCTGCACACATTGCAGCAACTTCCCACCTTGAAAAACCCCGTTAAGGCCCCGGGGCGTTCGGTTTCAATCCAGGACCGCCCACCTCCGGAAGTGGTGCGTGGCTGGCATAACGTGTGAAATCAGCTAGGTTGATTGCCGTATCAACCGATAGAACGACTGACATCTCCAGAAAACTTGTTTGTACGTGCCTCTTTCCCCAAGCCAGCCTCCTTCACTGCTAGTGGGAAGAGGGTTTTGTTAACGGCCTTGTCGACGGTTTTTCTCAGTTTTTTCTCCACTGTCGTTCCACTTCGCATCTCTATACTCAGTTTCAATCGCCATAATACCCCCTTATTGAGCCCGACTTTTGCCTTTGAAGAAATGTGATGTAGACCTTTATACGTGCATCTCGACGGCGCGTTCACTTCTGCTTTTGTTATCTGTGGAAAGATGTTCTGAACAACGTTTCGAAACAGGAAAGCGCAAGTGGTAACCGTCCTTGACAGACAGAGGGCTTGGATCCGATCCCATGCAAGTCCGTACTTTTGCTTTTCACGAAGAATGTTGAAAGTTTTCTTAGCATTACATGAAAAGAGCAAAAGTACGGAGTCGCAATGGGGTCGAACCTACCCATCTGTCCTTTAAGTCAGGGTCACTACCGCTGTGCTTCTTACTTCACAACTTCCTTCAGGAAACCGTTCTAGAGATTACGAAGCAGGTTCGATCTCAGCGCCTCGAAGCGCTCAAGTATAAACTCTTTCAAAAACGAAAGGGGTATCGGGTGCAGACCATACAACACAAGTGACGACGGCTTGACGGCTCCACAAAATGTAAATGTTTTCTGCCAATGAAATGATTAGCCTGTTGCAGTTGTATTCTATCAGTTGTCACTAATTACAACTATCATTTACAGAAATCAGCTATCACTATGAACCACTACTAACCAGATTTACTTGGAGGCCGTCGTCATTTGTGGTGTATGGTCTGCACTCAACGCTGTTCTCGTTTTTTTTTTGAAAGAAGGATATGTAGGTTTTACATCTTCATTTGTAAACGGTCGAACATGAATACCTGATCCTTCCTTTGTGAGTAAATTGCTCTATACAGGAAAAGATAGCACTGCAGATTCGATCGGTGGTTGTCACGGTTGTCATGTCATGGAGAAAATCACTCTTGAAAAAAGTGCACTAATGCCAGGAGGAATTTCGCCGTTCATGGTTGACCATGCCTTTGAGACCAGTTCAGTTGACTCCGGGCGCGCTTGCTAGTAGGAAGACAGTAAATATGACGTCAAACGTCATTGCATAGTCTAAATGTGCGCTTGTGGTAATTCGGGGCGGCTCGGGGGAGTTGAATGCGTGGCGCAAATCTAAAAGAAGGCAAGACTGGCACTACGTTTCATTGCAGATCACTGAAATCTTCCTCACACCGCACTAAGAATGTTTCTTCTGACAGAAACGTGTTTACCCACCTTATTCACAGTTATTGCTAGCTCTAATCCGTTGTCTAGTCGAACAAGCATCGCAGCACTGCCAGGCATGCGGCCATCGTGTTGCCAACCATTGAAGCCCATATATATTTAAGGACCACCCGGAGAACATAAATGCTTTTTAAGTACTTTAATGTGTGTCTTGAGCAGTAAGTTCTGTATTTGCTTTAACATCTGAGGGCGTAGTCAGGTTCGACACAGGGCAGTAGAACGTTACCGTCCGTTTTGCCATTGTTGCAACGAGGGTCGTTCTGGGATTTTTGAAGGTGGTGTTATTTGTGATTTTTGCTGGAGTCCGTGATTGTGGATAAAGGAATATGTGTTCGGATTTTTAAAGATTCGTGGCGGTTAAGGCCAGTGGGTCGCGTAGTAAGCTATGGGGCCGTTTCTGGGAACTGAGAGGAGGATGGAAATATTTTTCGTAATTTTTAAAAAAAGCAGAATTGAGCGAAGCTTACATAATTTTGTTCTTGCCAATTAATTATATATGTATATATATATAATTATTATATATATATATATATATATTAGTGGCAGAATTACATGTAGAACTATAGAAACACTTATGTTCGTTAAGGTGGGGGTTAATGGGAGTGAGGTGAGGGGAATGGTAACATGAATTTTGCCAGACCCCCTAGAGAGAAGAGAGTCGTAGAAAACTCGAAATCTGTACTACAGACCGTCGGACCATGCGCAAGTGTAGTATAAAGAGAGCATCGCCTTCGGACCCTTACAGATGGTAATGCGGAAACTTGATTCCATGACAGACGACGTAGTCGGTGAACCCCTGTCTCATGAAGAAAATTTCACAGGGGCAAGAGAGCAAAAAGTTACTTTTCCTATGGCGTACATCACCAATCTTTCGTCGCACAAGGTGCCACTGTTTATGGAAGTTTTACGCCGTATGCCAATCTTCGATCTCTATGTCTAATTCACTACTACCATACTCGTAGAATGAAAGCACTGACTTGTACGTCGCTTTCTGGCCCCTGCATGTGATTGTATACGGTATCGCTCGCGTTCGCTTGTCATTACAATTTCGGTTTTAGGAACAGAATGCGCGACACATCCCAAAAGGAATCTTCTTTAGTAGGGATATTGGGGAGCAAGTTGGAGTTCCACTACCCAGTATACCCTGTCGTTTAAGACCCTATCTTGGCCAGTGACCTCATATTGGGGTCTTGCACCACTTACCGTATGTACTATTCGAAGGCGAAGAAGGCGTAGAACACCGTATAATCGACTTTGTAGACAGAAGATCACGTCGGTGAGGAAATCCATCAACTCGTGACTGTAATAAGACTATCTCACTGTCATCTGCCACAAGAGAACCCTCAAAAGCTCGCAACACGTTCCAATCAGTGCCGGACTGTGCGTGCTTCCCGAATGACATGATCAAAAGGAATAAAGTCTAGTGGAAAGATTTAAAGAAATGTCCAAGCATAACTCACCATGAATAAGAGTAGCTGTATTGGACTTGCAATCCACCCGCCCCATGGGCCGATACGTTCTGACGGTAGCATTTCATATGGGTCAAATCCGAGATTATTCCCACTCATATAGTACAGTACTTCTCGTCTGAATCGGACATGATGACAAAGTGCACATAGTCTCTTCAAAAAGTATGAAAACAAATTTACGGCGCTCTTTCACTTATACTGGGCCCTGCAACTTGGATATCGTGAACTCCTGCCGGCGCAAAAATATACTTTTTCACAAAGCTCTCGTACGTCATTCCAGATAAGTGTTCTGCAAGGTATCCTGGAATATGGAGAAATTTGAAAATGTGTGTGTTCAGTAATTGGATGCGTCTAATTAGCATTTCTGGAACTTTGGCATTTGGTCGCGGAGTGGACTGGCTGAAAAGTTGTAGCACTCCCTTGCTGAGTATCGACCGATCAACCACGCCGCCCCGCGACCGCTCGCACACGATCCACTAACACCGATTCTTAAAAGAACAGTTTCTTAAAATCTGCTGTGTTACCCAGAGTACTTTCAGTACCTAAAAGTTGATATCCGAAGTTCGAATATATCCATTTGGTTCCTGGTTTATGCTCCAGTGGTACATTGTCCAAAACATATGTGATCAACTCTTCAGTACTTAACTGTGGTTGAATCCATGCGGCGTCGGATTGCAAGTTATCCCATCCTCCTGCGTAATTTAAGAATAAGAATAGGAGTTTGATTGCCAAAAGAAACACCACTTCCACTATGAACAAACCTGCTGTGTGCTCCAATAAATGTCGAACAGTGACGTCAGTGACATGTTTCTTGTAATAATTACGTTTGGCAAATTTATTTCCTGAAACCGCGAATTACGCAGCGCTACAGTAGCCGATAAACATCTTAGGCCGATGTCATAGTTTGCGAATCGAGCGATTCGCTAGCGAATCGCTGGATCCGAGCGTTGCGCCAGCGAATCGAACGATGTACCAGCGACTCAATAGTGGCGGGACCCAACGTTCAAAGGAAGCCCGCCACTTTCAAACAGGGTCCACTGTCACGTGACACTGTTTGAAAGTGGCGGGCTTCCTTTGAACGTTGGGTCCCGCCACTATTGAGTCGCTGGTACATAGTTCGACTCGCTGGTACATAGTTCGACTCGCTGGTGCATCGGTCGATTCGCTGGTGCAAAGTTCGATTCGCTGGTGCAACGTTCGATTCGCTGGCGCAACGCTCGGATCCAGCGATTCGCTAGCGAATCGCTCGATTCGCAAACATGTCGGCCTTACCCTTTGTAGCCCACGGGCCAAGTGCATCTGTAATGCGAAGCGAATAACACAAGTGATAAGAGCCTTCACGAAATGTGGCAAATTCCAGCAAACGGAACGATCATTGATTGGGTTCTAATCTATTATATTAATTGTCACTACTTAAAACTACCATTCGTCAACTATCAGCTGTAGCTATGAACTACCGATTATCCAATAGATTTTTTTAGAGAGCCTCACTTGTACTGCTAGTCTTACAGATGCACTTGTAAAATGCACACACAAAAGTGATCGACGGTTGAGTGATGATGTACAAAATGTGTAACATTTGTTCCCGTTGGGCGAATTTACTCTCTGCCAAGCGTGATATGTTGCGGTGAATGTATCTAGTCAGCCAACTTTGTCGGGTCAGATCGCGCGAATTGAGACAAATTTTGCACACCGGAGACTCTGATAGTTCGATACTTTCAGTGAAAATTTAAACAAAAAGCTACCGAAAATCGATCCGTGTCCGAATAATTTGTCATCTAGTTCGATTTTTCCTTGATCCACTAGTAACAGAATTGCGCAAGCAGTGATTGGTTTCGATACCGAACCGACCCTTAATTATTGAATAGTTTGAATAATCCAAAAAGGCAACTATATTTCCTTTCAAAAAACGAGAAAGTGTCGGGTGCAGACCATACACCACAAGTGACGACGGCCTCCACAAAATGTAAATGTTTTCTGCCAATGAAATGATTAGCCTGTTGCAGTTGTATTCTATCAGTTGTCACTAATTACAACTATCATTTACCAAAAATCAGCTATCACTATGAACCACTAACCAGATTTACTTGGAGGCCGTCGTCACTTGTGGTGTATGGTCTGCACCCGACGCTCTTCTCCTTTTTGGAAAGGAAGACATGTGTGCAAGATCATCACAACAATATACAGGGGTGGCCAAAAAAAAGAGACACTTCACTCCACATTTCAGACAGCATTAATCACACTTTGCTAAATCAAATCGACTGCCCCCAACTCAGTATTAAAGAGCACATTCTAATCTATCTAAAATTACATGACAGCCTTCTACACCGACGACATCAGAAGATTTTCCCACGGAAACATGGTTCAACGAGGTCGTCGAGGTACCATAGACCATTACGACGTCCCTGAAACGCTGGTCAAAAGCGGTCTTGCACAGTCACAGCTAGTGTCTCTAGAAGCTATTCACCGTTAATTGAAGAAATTATGTAGCAGCTTCAGGCCGGAGCGATTACGGTAAGCCTCGTTGAGCTCGACGGTGACGGCAGATGACGTCATATTCTGAAGACGGCGGGGCAGTGAAGGAGGGCCTGCTTCTGTTTACGGGGGAACACCTAAGGAATATTCCGCCGTAAAACTTTCATTAACATCGGCTCCCTGTGCGACGAAAAGTTCGATGATGTGCGCCATGGGCAAAGTGTCTCTTTTTTTGGCCACCCCTGTATGCAAGCATGTAAAAATTCACCTAAATTGATGGTTTGGGGTAACGGCTTCCTCCTCGCGTACATCTGCGAAGCCAAAACCTGTAATTTTATGAACTCAATAATTATATAAGATGTTCGTGATTCCTTACAGCCGTGCGGTGCCCAAACAGGGTCAACCCTATCGTTGTTACTCTTTGGAAATTTTTTACGACCCCCCCCCCTTCATGGGTGATTTGATACGACCCCCCCCTTGTATGTAACACTTGTGTAGAGACAGTGTTCACTATAAGTCTTTGGCCCTGACGTGGAGCGGCATTTGCTCACAGTGAAGAGGCGTCGAACGGGGAGTGTGAAATTCGAGAGTTTTTTTTTTACATTTCAGGTAGTTCGGAAGATTCAGGTGGATTTTGATCGATTTGCCCTCCTTCCTAACGAGTGCTCATTTGTTCTCAAACACTTCGGAATGAATAAGTTATTAGGCAAAAAATAAAATTGAAACACAATTTTTACACTCCTCTTTCTAGGGCTATAACTTCCTTCATATTCGAGCTTCAGCGCCGAAGTGATTTGATTTGGAAAATTCAAATTATTTTCTATCCAACCATGGGTAAAAATTCTTCGGAAGTCAATTTAGTAAAAATTTTGTACGTTGTTACTTTTTTCTGTGCAAAGGCGACTTTTTGACCTTCAAACGATCATAACTTCCTTCAAAGTCATTCATTTGGGAAGCTGAACACGTATAATAAACTACAGGATTCAAGCTTTCTAACGAGCACCCAAGCGTTCCTGAAAGATCAGCAGTTCAAAAATTAGTCCCGTTGTTACTTTTTATTTTGAGGGGTATTCTTCAAGCCATTTTCTCGAAAACGCGAGTTTTCTTAGGTTTCACTGCCCGTAACTTCTTGGAAGACCAATTTTATGTTTAATTTAGGATGTGCTAGAAAGCTTCGAGCATGCGCTTGCACTACATCCCTTGCCTTGGTGCGCGCCACGCCTCGGGCGCCCTTCTAATTCGCTGATTCATTTGAAAGCTCATTTAGAGGGAAGCGTGGTTTATAGATGCTCTAGTATCAGTCATCTTACGAAAACGTAACGTGCTGGCTATTATCCGATATTACCAAGAATCCCACTGTCGGCCACCGAGAGGGTACGACCCCCCCCCGTTGTTACTCGTAACAACGTAGGGTTGATCCTGTGCCCAAAAATGCACCGCTTCTCCCATTCAGTTCAATCAGGCCGGACAGATCAGTCACATATATGTACAACCCCCACCGATGCCGTTATCTTAGCGAGTGATAACGATAACGATGGTTTTGCTTCAGCAATGAAGCAGGTTATCTGAATAGTGCCCCGGGTGAAAAAAAAAACAAGAAATACCATCGAGACACGCGCAAATATGCCCTTCTATTTTCGTTGACCTCTGATAATCGAACGAGCTGCAATCTAATAATGAGTTTTTGACACTGTTAATAATAGCCACATAACACCAAGCTAAAGACAGCTTGATTGGTAACGAGTTCCATGGGAAAGTTATAGGATACGCACTCAAAGCGGAATACCTCATCAAAATGATAATCGAAGGACGCTGCTGCTGGGGGCGGAGCACAGACCGTGGCGGAGCTCAGAAAGGAATGGCAAGCCCAGTACGCTGCAACTAGCGCACCTTTGGCCACAAAAACGCCAACATTTCGTTTCCTTGGGCCCCTGACTACTGCTTCCACTGGTGCATGTACTTCCATGCTGCACACACACTTTATCGTAATCTCTCGCTTTAACAGAGAGGTAATAGCAGCTCCAAAAGTAAAACATTGTGATGGAATTTTCAGATACGCCCCTCTCCTTGGGTAAACAGAAACTCGTACTGTTGCCGTTCTTAAAAACGTAATGTTCAGAAGGGAGTGAGATGATGAGGAAGGGCATCAGCCATGGCATTCAAAGGTAGGGGTAACATTTTCTTTTTTAAAAAGATCCGACAAAAATAATACTTAAAAATAGATTTTCTTTTGCCAAAGGGAATTGGTTCACTCGAAGGAGTTTTTCTGAGGAATCGGCGTTTCTGTGGGCAACATACCAGGCAGGGTCAACCGTCGCGGTAGCATTTTTTCGAAGTTTTTTACAGCTCACTTAACCTCCCCCCCCCCCTTTCCCGCTCTTAAGGTATCACCACTACCTTCGCCACTGCGCTTGCGACCTCTCTCACAGCCAGGGCGAAATACGGAACCTCATAGCGTTTTACCGGTGCAATGCTAGTAGGTAGGGAGGCCGATTTTCCGAATACGGTAAGCACGAAATACGTATGCGTGTACGTGGGACATTCACTGCTTTGATCTTACGAGAATGTACAGATTAAGCATGGAGGGAAAGCGGAACTTTTGCGCCCTTCACTGCGAAGCAAGGATTCGTGAGCCAGGGAGAGTGTAGCCAATTCAGGGAGGTGGGGATGAGGCGAGTAACGAGTGTGCGTGAAAAGCTGGGATGTGTTATTCCCATAGCGTTTTACTACCCTGCCCTGAACACCACTTCCACGGACATTTCCCCTACCGTATTCAGGAAATCGGCGGGCCCTCCCCGCTACCGTTTGACCCTGTCACAGTGCACGGATCCCTCCCTATTATTGCGGCAGGGCCACTACAGCTGCCATCTGAATAATAGCCACATTTGAAAAAAGTGACAGCAACGGACATGCAGGAAATGGAAAACCACTGAACAATCACGGCATCCAGTTTGGTAGAAAAACATCAGTGAAAATGTCACTCAACAACAGATTGAAACCTGTCTCACGAACTCGTGTTATTGTTATGTTATTATTTCATCCGAAAAAAAAACTGAAGG